GTAAAAGCACCTTAAAGAAAAGCTTACTATATAGGGATTTTACTAAGTACCTAATAAGAATTACTATTAGAAAAAGGATTATATTATATTCTTTTTTTATATTAATAACTATATATTAAGTTATTACTATATAAATAAAACGTAAGTAAGTAATAAGATAGTAGCACTTTAGTAATAATAATACCTTAAAAGTAAAAGCTTATTATAATAGTTCTTTAGCCTTAAGGTAATTTATAACTAAAATAACTACTATCTTTAGCTTTTATAAGTAGTATACTATAATAAAATAATAAAACTACTACTAATAAATAATAAATATAAATATAATAAATTATTACTTATAGTAAAAGCTAAGCTACTACTTAGTAAATATATAGCCTTATTATAAAAGGTTTACTAATATTAAAAAAAAGTAAAAATAATTCTTTATATAGTAGTAATAACTTAGCTAGATATTACTTTTATAGCTAGCTAGCTTACTTACTTTAACTATAATCTAAATCTAAATTACTAAATAGCTATAAATTAAGTGCTTAGGTATTTTTATTAAATATAATATTTTTACCTTAAATATAAAGTAACGCTAGGTAGTAAAAATAATATATTAAAGGTCACTTTAGACGCCTTATTTACTAATAACTTATTAGACTATTATAGCTTATAAGTATATATACTAAAGCTATTTAGAGGGCTTATCTCTTAGTAAGCTAATAAATAAGATATAGTAATAATATTAACTACTAAGGCTAAATTACTAGCCTTATTATTTATTATAAAAAAGACACTTTTTATTAGTAAATTAATTACTACACTAAGTATTTAACTATTAATATAACTAAGAACTAAATTATTACTTAATAAGTAAATAGCTACTAAATAGCTACTAACTATTTATATTAGCTATAATAATACTTAAACTATTAGGCTTATTACTAAGGAGCTTATTTAATTATAGATAAGGCTATAGTATATAGATATTTATAACTACTAGCTACACTAAGAAGTAGTAGTAAATTAAATTACTATTAAATATAAGAAGTCTACTAAATTAATAGCTAATAGATTAATAAAGGCGCTTAGTATACTATAATTTACTATATTTATAGCTTAATTAAATATAAGTAACTAATATATACGCCTTAAAGTAAATTAATAGTAAAAGTTAGCTAATAATAAAGTAAAGCTTTACTATTAAATAAAAAAAGAAAACGTATAGGATATTAAAAAATAATTAATAAATAAATAGGCTATATATAAATAATATTTAGTATAGGCTTTATAGTAATTAATTATACTACTAGCGCTAAGGGGGTATATTAAATATAGTAGAATTATATATAAATTAGCTAGCTAATATATAGTTACCTTTTAGTAAATTATTAGGGAATAGGTAGTAAATTAGCCCTACTTCTAATAGTAACTTTACTAATAATATTACTAAGATTAGCTAAGGATTTCCTAACTAAGAAATAAGGGTTTTTCCTTATTTCTATAGTAATTTATAATAAATATAGAATATATAATAGAATTAATTAAGTAACTATTATTATCTTTATAATTTAATATATCTACTTTAGCTTAATAAAGTATAAAAGAGTTATATATAGCGTGTTAGCCTCTAAGGTTTATAGTATAGTTACTAGCACTAACGTCACCTATATAATTAGTACTACACTTATAATAATTACTAACTACCTTAAGTTACTATAAATCCTAATAATTCTTTATACTAACTTATACTCCCTCTATAAGTGCCTTATAAAGCTTAGTACTACTAAAAAGAAGTAACTTATAATTAATATTATAACGCTTTACTAGTTATATAAGTAACATAAGATCTATAAGATCTAATAGATATAAAGGGAAGATAACCTAGTAGATAGATTTATAAAATTATTACTAAATAAAGCGCTAAAGCAGTTAATTAATAATAGTTAATTAGAGATATAAATAAATAGATAGGTTTTATATATATAACAGGTTATATATATAAAAAGTATTAAATACTTTTTAGCCTTTTACTTTTATTACGTTTTTAGGCCCTTTATAGATAACTAGAAAATAAGGATAATTTATAGCACTTTAGAAGGTTGCTAGTGTTATAATGTTAACTATCGCTTAGATATCGGCAGTATAGATTAACGCTAAATAGCCGGAATAACTACGGCTAATTTGCTATGGATCCACTAGATCTATAGGGATATTACGCGGTGGATTCGCTGCGTAATCCCACAATAGTTTCCTTTCCTTTACACATAATTCAGAACCAGTATTTACCCCTATTATTCGTCATTGCCTATTGATACGTACGGTTAACCGTATCACCACCCTGGTGATAACCAACAGATAGCTATTAGTTACATTATTCCGTTCGCCTCTCACTCAAGCTGCGGAGGTTCTAAGGGACATACCGATGGAAATGATCGAGACTATCAACCCGCTCACGCCACTACCATGGGAAGACAGGGCGCCGATTGAGCAATGCACCTCGACTAGATGGTGCTAAGAGGGCTGTCTCATTGCGCGCAGCCGAAGGCTGAATAAGCCCCCCGGGTAAGAGGACAGAGTGATAGGAGAGACGAGAAAGATAAATAGAAAGGAGGGGGAAGGAACAAATAAAGCCTTACGAAGGCCTGCGTCTTTCCTTATCCTTCTAATACACGTTCGGAGCGGCGTGGGGTATATCGTGGCTACCCCTCAGGAAAGATGTATCAAAGATGCCGGAGACTACTGCCGATGCTGAGAAGAATTATTGTTCAAGGCTTGCAGCCCATTGGCCCTGGTGCCGTCCGTCTCTCCATCTTGCTGCAAACGGCAGACAGTGAATGCACGAGCACCGGCGATGGTGGGGACCCGTTGAACACAATCTGCAAGTTACCCTTCAAACATAGACCTGTTGGCTGATTGCGGTCGTTAATCCACTGACGATGGTCTTCTGGCCTGATGCCGGCTTCTGCTCGAAAAGAGGCAGGACGAAAGGCAGGACGGAGGGATGGAAGACGGGACGGAAGGAGGAAAGAAAGGGGCCAAAGGCGCAAAGCCCCAAGAGAGGGCCGTCAGCCGCATCTCCGCCTACAACTGGACTGTGCCCGTGTGAGAGGCCGGCTCCTCCCCCAGAAGCCGTCACGATACGTTTTGTCATTGATGTATTTGCCAAAGTACCACCAATCATCGCCGCCGCCGTCAACGCCGGCAATGGCACTTGGCTTTGTTCCAACTTTGTTCCAACTTTGTTGGTCGGGCAAGACTTCGACCACATCGCCGCGTCTTCGACGAGAGGGGGGCCGCTGTCTGAAAGAAAATCATCATACGCGGGAGCCTTCTCGTCAATTCGGGGGCCCCTTGAGCAAGCTATGGCTTCCCCCTCCCTCCAACAAGACCGTTGGCAGCGATAAGACACGCGACCTTGATATCATGAAAAGGCAAAAGGCTACGACGGATACCCCGTCCTCCGCAGTTACCGTATTTTTTATTTATTTTTTGGATTCTTTTTTGCAAAATAAAAGGAAACTGCCCCCAAACCCAGCGGAAGATACCCGCCGCGGCGTTGTATATGTATATGGGAAAGTCAAAACCCGGGCTCCAGATACGTGGTTTTTACATCGGAAGGGGGTATGCCCGGCCCCAATGACATCTCCCACGGGTCTGCCCATCGACGGTGGCGTCTAGAGAGGCGGGGAGAGAGAGAGTGTGTGTGTGTGTGTATGTATGACCCTCACCCAAGCAACCACGCCGTTCAGCTCTCGAGTTATTCCCAACATGAAAGCCCCCGGCTTCAGCAAGTCGGAAGAGAACCGTAGGAGAGTGTCTAGCATACTCCCTCTCAGGATAGGGCCGTACGGGAGAAACCCCCCGGTGACCCGACAGCGCCCAATCTTGGCGATATCAATAACGTCAACCACAAACACCCAGCACAGGTTCTGCGACCCGGCCCATCAAGGAATCAATCCCCCTGTTCTCCACATCCCAAGTCACATATCCCTCTACCTCACTGCTCGTCATGCTCTACGAGCAACCTCGACATTTTTTTCTTTTCTTGTCTTTTTCAAGGTCTAGGCTCACTAACAGCTGCTCCTCGCGCTGTCGGTGGAGTTCTAGGCCCGGCCATCGACAACGCCCAGGCACCTGCAAACACCGATACGAGATGGTCAAACCGTTATTTTTGTCATTATTCATTCAGAGCTTGTCAACGCCGATTCGGTCCAAGTTCGCATATCACGTCACCGTTGTCGTGCAGCTGGTGCTGCTGAGGTGGCGGCTACATCAATCCCACCCATCTATCCATCCCCTATCCAAAAGCGGAACGTCAACAAACCCAAATCGGTCGAGATGCGGCCTCTCAAAACCGGTGGGTAAGCTGACCCGGACCAATAAATTGACAAGCACGAAAAAAAGCAAGAACAAAAAACAAAAAGCCCACTACAACTATTCTCCGACCCTTTCTTTTGCTGCCTGACGAGATACGTCGAAACGTGCACCAGAAGCGCCACGCCAGACTTTCCCCCCTGCTTCGTCTCTGAGCACTCAATGCCCCCCAAAGCTGTAGCCCGTCTGTTTGTTGGTACTCCGCGCCGGCTCGACGCCCCGAGATCCCGACTAGGGTCTCTCCAACGTCCGAGGGCGGGGGAAGCTAACGACACGCCAGACCCTCATTTTACTCTCTCACCCTCTCTTGGCTACACAACTTCAACTGCTTCTGGGCCTTGGGCCAGCTTTACCCCTCACGCACACGAAAACGCAACGAGTTCGTCTTGACCACGCCACAACGGCACCGTCCCTTTCGAGACGAGGACCAGGGCCCATACCGAACAGAGCTTGTCAAGGCACAGAGAATTGGGCTGCGAGCAACCGAATCGGGAAAAAATGGCGTTTCTTTGCATCAAACGGTTGAGCTTTGTCAACCACCAGCGACGTGCCCTGTCCCTCCCCTTCGAGCAACTGCACAATCTGCGAGGTCCGATCATCCGGTATTAGGTGTAGTCATCTGCTACCCGGGCCCGTCACCCGAGGTTGGGATCATGAGCGATGCGACCTAGAGGCGTCCTGTCTCGGGGCTTCTCGACCAAATCGGCATACCCATCCAGACTCGAGCCCATGACCCTGACCATCTCGAAAATGTGAGAGCCCTTGAAAGTCTCCGCCCAGAGCCTGATGACCGCCGCGGCCAGCTGCCTCAGCCGTGTGCTGTCGTTAGCAGACACCTCGCTGCTGGCAGGCTGGCCGGCTGCGGGTCCGCCCAGGGATGGATCAATGGGCACGGCGAATTCCGTCTCGTCGAGCATCCTCCTAACCGACTGCAGGAGATTCTTCTCTTCGGGCGTCGCAGGCGGGTCATTCGGTCCGATCGACGCGAGGGTGAGAAGCCACTTGGATAACAGGATGGCACATTCAAAGTTACACACTGCAAGCAGCCCGAGTTAGCAAGCGGAAGCCGTGTCGGCTTGGAGGGTACCTACAGGCATGCTGGATGCTCCATTCCAGGCTCTTTGTCCTCGCAACGTAGTTGACGCCGGCCTTAACCAACATGGACAGGGCATGGATGGCCTGGAACACGGCTCTGTGCAGCCTCAAGGTACGAACCAGAAGGGGCATGCCGCTCAGCGACGAAGCGACCAGCATATGATCCCGGGTTTCGAGGCATCTTCCAGGCGGGATCTCCGTGTACAGGCGAATGTACGCCAGACGCAAGAGAGCAGTCGAGTTGAAAGCTACCGGGCCACCTGGGAACGAGTCGCTGTTGCCCACGTGCCCTGCATCGGCCGCACGTAACTGGTGTCGATGTTCGAAACTGACCTGCCAGATCCGCAGCGCCGCGGTGACCTCTTCAACATCCTCCGGCTTCAGGCCTCTCTGGGGCCCGAACGGCGAGCTCAGCGCAAAGGAGGTTTGCTTCAACAGGTATATATGCTGCAGCAAAGCGTGGATCAGTACGTAATTTCCGAGGGACGACATGTGCGGAGGCAAGCCCTGGGGCGAGGTCGTCAAAACCCTAGAGAAGGCGTCGTGGACGGTGATCTCGGCGGACGGGTAATTTTGCCGGTCCTCCTGCCACTGCCATGCTGACTCGGCCCTCCACAGCCGGGATGGAGAGGGCAAGAAGAGGCCGAGTTCCGATGTAAGGATAAGGGGCGGCACATTGTACGCGATGCTGCAGAGGTTGAAGAAGCAGTATGCTATAAGTTTTGTCCGCGTAGCCCCTTCGAGTCGGATCCAAGTCTCCCAATCTGGCGCGACGGCCGGGCTCGACTCGGCGACCAGGCCCTCCTCGCGAACCAGCATGGCGAGGTGGCTCTGCAGGGACAGGGCCTCGTGCAAGATGGCTTTGGCTCCCCAGAGCCCTACTGCGAAAAGTAAAAGGACGGCCTGGGTCGTCTCAAGTCGGGCTTGTGGCGTGTTCGGCGAGCTGTTCAAAAGGTTAGTGTGCCGATGACGCATAAACAGACGATGCACCTACAATGGCTCTCGGTGGGTGTCTTGAGTCATCGGGCGATCTTGTTGTGCCGAAGCAAACGTGTGACGGAAACCAGAGGTCGGGGAGGGTCGCGTCGAGTGCGGGCTGTACGCAGCTGGTGTCGGGAGCAGGGCATGCACTTCGTGACTATGCCGCCGTCGAATTTGCTCAAGCGCAACAGCCTTGGCGGCGTACCATAAAGCGTGACCTCGGTGGCTTTCAAATCGATACTGGGCACCGACAGCCAGGATAGCAAGGAGAAGCTCGGGTGCCATTTCGGAGGGCGTCAGAGTAGGAATGTGAAGAAACGGGAGGTATTCGTGGAAGCCGCTGATGTAACCCTCCAAGAAGCGAGTGAGAGTATGGCGAGACGGGAAGACGAAGTCGTTGGGGATAACGGACGAAAACTCTTCCAGCCTGTTCTTGATCACGGTATGGTCGGCAGCGGATATGCGAAGTGGCGCTCTCGTCAACTCCTCGTGGCTACGTGGGCCGCTCTCTAGCCCCTCTCTCCCTTCGGGCTGGACCGAAGGAAATCGCGAGGGAAACTGTGATGATGGCTTGGACGGTCCACGATGATGCATGTCGCCGGACCGCGGCCACAGACCACCCATCTGCTGGTCAGACTCATACGGGGGTGGGAGGTAATGCGAAGGCGCAAAGTCGTCGAGGAAGATGTGGTAGTCGTCGTAAGGCGCGGCCTGGGGCTGGGGAGCGTACCCAGGCGCCAGCATGTTCTGTTCCTCCCGCGGACGGTCATGATACCCCATGGACTCGTCATAGGACTTGATCCTCGCGTGATCTGAAGGCGGACGTCCCATGTCCGCCATCATAGGCTGCTGCATAGGGTTAACTTCGCTGGCCAGAGCAGCATCGGAGAGCAAGTCGAGGTTGCAGGCAGCGGCACGAGCCGTGCCCGACATGCGAGGATCGGGGGCCATGGTAGACGCCACGGGCGTTATCGACTCTTGGTGATAGTGGGGCTGGGGCGGGCGTTGGACGCCGAGCATCTCATGCTCAACATGGCTCTCGGACGAAGACGGCGGATTGTGGGTGCTGGACGAGGTCTTCCTCGGGCGGTTGTTCTCCTTGCTGCCCTCGTTAAGGTGAACGAGCTTCTCATGGCGGACGAGTAGATCACTGATGTCCATGTAAGCATATTCCTAAAGTCAGACACAAGGGAGAGTTGGCCGTGATACGGGTGAGCATTAAGAATAGAGAAGAGGTGGAGTCTAGAGGTCGGAGGCTGGGACGGGGGAAGAGTCTTGGGATAAAGCAAGCCGGGGTAGCGTGGTACGTGTGTGAGGCGACGGCATGTGGTGTCGACGTGTGGTAGGTTAGGTGTACTTGGGCAGAATGGCAAAATGATGAATGGCCGGGGGGGGGGGGATGATGGACTCACCGTCGTCCGAATGTTTTCCCACAGCGAGCCCAACCGCAGGCGAAAGGCTTCTCTTTGGTGTGCGTCCTTTCGTGTCTTTGAACATGCTCCACACGCCTAAATTGTAAAAGCAATGTGAGCGATGTAGGGCAAATGTCAACCAAATCGGGGGAGGGGGAGGGGTGACTTGAACAAGGGGGGGGGGGGGACAACTCACCTGAAGCGTTTGCTGCAATACTTGCACGGTAACGTCTTGGGCTTCTGCTGCCGGGTCTCTCCATTCTCCCCAGCAGCAGAGGCTCCGTGAGGAGGCATGCCCTCTATAGACTGTAGAGGGAGCATCTGCGCGAGAGCCCTGCCCTCTCGGGAGGGAAGGAAGGCAGGTAAGGGTAGGGAAGGACGGGTACTGTGTGCTCGGATAAGGTCTAGACAGGTCGAGGGCCTCCTCGGAGGCCACACAGCACAAGAAAGTGGGGGAAATGGAGAAGGGAGGAGGAGGAGGAGGCAGAGTTGGGCTCGAGAGGGATACTTTGCGGTGCGGTGCGGCGTGTATGGATCTGAAGACGGTCGGAAGGGAATAGAGGTTTTTCAAGCTCTCGTCAAGGAGTATGGTACGAATACGGCGGCCAAGACCTTCTCCGGTGCCCCTCGTCTAGTCTTTTTCCATGCAAGCCCCCCCGGGTAAGCAAGTCTGATCCAGATGGCTCTCGTCGGGGTGAGGGCAAGCATAAGCGTCCACGAACGGTGGCGTTTGGGGTTTGCAAGTGACTGTGTTCTCGGGCGTCGGTGCGAAGCATGCAAGAAATGCGCGAACGGAGCGAGAAGTTGGGATTCGGAACGGGATGCCCCGGCGGTAGCAGCAGGGTGTGCAAGATGTGTGAGGATGCGGATGAGTAGAGTTGGGGAAGAGGACAAGCAAGAGCTGGTGTCACGTCACGGCGGCAAGTGACACGAGGGATACAGGCTGATTGAGGACGAGTATGAAAGGGAAGTGCGCGGTTGGAGGTCGCGGCAAACGTGTCTGGATGTTTGGGCGTCGGGGGTGAAGGGCACAAAAACAAGCATGCATGCGAGAATTGGAGCGTGAACTAACTGTAGGTACTCGGTCGGCTCGAACAACAGCACCGTTGGATAAAGTGGCAGCGAGGTCGAGGTAACTGGCAGGGAGGGGGTGGGAGAGCAAAAAGGCGGGGAATTAATTGATGGAGATGAGGAGACGCTCTCGGGAGAGGAGGCAGAAAGAGGAGGCGGATGGGTTGAATGGGTGGGTGGATGAGCGAGATGAGTGTACAGCGGGAGAGGACAGACAGGAGAGGAGATTCGAATGGATGGGCGGCGGCCCAGGCTCTGAGCGATGTGGAACTCGAGAGCGGAGGTGGAGGGCGGCAGCAGGCCTCTGAGAGAGCAGCGAGACAAGGAGAAACGGTGCGAGGTGCGGCCGTACCTCAGGAGCCGAATGTGAGGTAAGGCGAGGTGGAGGAATCGGCTGGAGTAGGTACCGGTAGCTATCTGGAAGCTTGGTACTTGCGGGTGGGAGCAGCTGAGAGCTAGTCGGGGATCAGCTGAAGAGGGGAAACACGGGAATGTCGGCTGTCTGCGGCGCGCCGTGCGACGACGAAATAGACGACGGCGGGATGCTGGGATGGGCGGAGAAGCAGGGCAAGATGGACCGGTGCGGCGCTGCAATGGCGCTCGGGGTAGACTTGACTTGCAGACGTCGTAGATGGGAGCTGGTGGGTGTGTGTGAGAGAGTATATGTAGGTGTGCGTGGTGCAAAGGTTTGCAAGATGGTCTCGTGAGGAGACAAGAGACCAGAACAAGAGTGAGGGGGAGAGTGAGAGTGAGAGAGCCGGCGCGTCGGCTGGCCTACTTACTGCCCAGGAGCGACAGAATTTCGATGATGTGTCGTGGAGGATCAACGGGGGAAGCCGCCTTGGAATGCAACGTCGTGGGCAAGAGAGCGACGTGCGGGAAGGAAGCCGCCTCGGAGATGGAGAGGAGGAGGAGGTGGGTGAGGTCAGGCCAGGCCAGGCCAGGTCAGGCCAGGTCTAGAGGAACCGGTGCGGCGGCGTGTGGAGGAAGCGGGTAGGGAGGGTATGGCGAAGGAGGGGGGCGGAGAAAAAGGCGATGCGACGAGATGATGGACGTGGACGCGGACGCGGACGTGGATGTGGATGTGGACAGCCGGGCGGGGTGCGTGTGGGAGGTGAGATGAGGTGAGGTGAGGTGGACGTCGTGGTCGTGATGGGTGGGAAAAGGTGGGGAGAGAGTGATGAGGAGAGAAAGAATTGGCTTCGGTTGAATGGGGGGAAATCCAGGCAAGGAATCTGGGGTCTGGGGTTGTCTCCTCTCTCTCCGCATTGGAGAAGCACAGCACCCGGTTCTGTAGTAGTGTACGGATACCTACCTACTGTACTCCCTACTGCCCGACACGCACACAATCCAAAGTACCTTAGATGGCTTCATAGGTGAGGCAATGCGACCAAACAGAAATGTAAACATGCCTTGGAATGGCGGACTCGAGCGACATGCCGACGAGACACTTTGGAAGCATAGCATAACAGTCTGGAAGCAAGCCCTGGCTGAGGCTTCTTCTGTCTTGCTCCTCTCTCCTGTCTGTCCAGTCCGTCTGTCAGTCTGTCTGGGAAACGGGTGACTTTGGGGTTGACATGTGTGAGGTACCTTTCCGGTGGAGTCCGTCGCGGAAAGTACCTTGTCCAGACCATCTAACCAGGTATACCTACAATACGTGTACCCAACGCCTGAGCCAATCTTCCCAGGAGCAGGCCTGCTCAACATGCCTGAACACACCGCAACAGGGTTGCATGTGGTCACGGTGGTGAGGGGGAGGGAGCTTCGCGGCGCGGTGCCAATGGGAAACCGGCCATGAAATCATTCCTCGTCGGCAAGGGCTCGGAGATGACAACGACGATGACGCCGACGCCGATGCCGATAAGGAGTCGCGAAGCCCAAAACACAGCGCAGTACAGCACAGCACAGCACAGCACAGCACAGCACAGCACAGCACAGCACAGCACAGCGCAGTATACACTAGCATAGCATATCCGTACACATAGATGATAAGCACTAGGTACTTACCTCCAGGACTCCGTCCCATCTCTCAAGGTTTGACCATATTTACCATGTAAACACTTGATGATGCTCCCCCTTGCTCGGCCTCTTTCTTTCTTTCTTTCTTTCTTTCTTTCTCCTCACTTCCGCTCTTCCGTCGCACGCCAAAACTCTGCCCTCTGCATCCATCCATATTACGGCAAGACAAGCTCTCATCGCCCATCTTCCAGGGTCAGAAGGCACAACGGGGGACGGGGCGGGGGGGGGGGGGGGGACGAGGAAACGTCCAGGCCTCAAAGACGCACCAATGGCAGCCTTGCTATAACGGCCAATCGTGGCAGGGAACCCCCCCTTGTCCCAGGCGAGATATGGCCGCTTCGGCTAACGAACCGCGCGCTCGTCCCCTTTTTGGAGAAACCACAAAAGCCAGTCGGGGGTCGGGGTCGACCAGAGCCGACGGACGAGTCCCTGACGAAAAGACCCTATTGAGCTTCAGCTTCAATGCCGCTGCTGTCAGATAGGGTGGAACAAGGCGAAGAAGCTCAGTATACCTCTTCTCGTGGTTGGCTCTTCTTCTTGTCGGTTTGTTTGTACTTTGCCATGGGAAGGAAATCAGAAACTGGGGGGGTAACATGGCTCCACGTCCCCAAATGCGGGTACTATCATTGTACCTACCGCCTTCACAACGTCCTTTAGTCTCCAAATGCCGAGGCCGAGACTCGCACTGGAATGGACTGGGAGCTTGATGAAAGCGCAGAGAGAGGAGGGATTTGCCCCCTCCCCAGAATGACAAGGCCAACAACAGGCCACTGCATAAAAAGACAAAGAGTCCAAACACGTCCATGGCGCCTAACTTCGCTACCTAGGTAGGTTTGTTGGCCGGTTCAGATTCATGTCAGGTCTGGGCAACACTTCCTCTCGTACTTTTGTGTTACAGCGCTCGTCATCCTCGTGAAACGACTATGCCGCGCCGCTATGCTCTCTCCTTCTCAGTCAACCAGCTCATCTCATCCGCACATGGCCACCCTCAACGCAATAGCCATGTAACAAGGCCTGGGGCCCCTACACCACATTACACCACACCACAACACACGACATGGTACATCGACCCCTTGAACGTGACATCCCATCTTCAAGCCAATGTCAGGAAAATTCCCGATGGCTGCAACACGCAGCGGGCAAACGGGGGGGGGGGGGAGGGGGTCCGGTTTTGCTGTCGTGTGTGATGTGTGTGTGGGAGTGTGGACGATGAATGGCGGGCGAGAAAAGATGGGAGAGGCTGCCCTGCATTGGAAGGCGATAGGCGGATAGCTCACTTCGTGGATGCAGAGGCAGGCAGGCACGCGTCGGACCCAGACGACAAGATGCAGGAAAGCCCCGAGCCCGTTGCGGCAGGAGCAATTGCGGGAAACGGGAACGGAAACAGCGATCCCTCAGCTATGTACCTAGTAAGGTAGGCACTCACACTCAGAGAGGCACCTGCCTGCCTCCAAGGTGCAAAGTGTGGGGTAATTTTGAGGCAAGAAAACAAAAAAGTTGGCCCCACTATGGTATACCTATGTGCTCCCCCCCCCCGGTCCGGATTTTCCTTCTCCATTTTCCCCGTTTGCACATTCCACAGGCAAGGTAGGTACGGCTCCTGAGGTACCTACTTCACAAGCTCACACTTCTCACACTCCGGCTAGAAACAAACTCACACAAACCATTCATGACAACGATAAGGTGCGCCGGAAGACACGCTCATGCTTTCTTTTTGCCTTGATCTTTTTCATCCTTTCCTTCCCTGGTCTGCAATTAGAGAGCACATTCCATTATCCCATCCCTGCTTGCTGCCGTCTTCTCTCCACACCCCACGTCCTTGTGTAAACAGCCCCCAAAGTCTCCTGCAGCCATCACGTCCATAACCCCCCCCTCCCCCATGGCCAAGGCTTGTCAACGCCATTTCAGACAGAAACCCTTTTGAGTGACGGGGGACCTGACCTCGGCTCCAACATCAAGCAGGGCCACGCTCCTTCGGGCGTTGCATCCAACCCATTCCTAATCCGTCATCACTCCGAATGCTATATCTCTTACTCCTTTTCGGGCGTCTCCTTGTCCCTAACCTCGAGCAGTCCGTGGGGGGTGCTGTGGCTCTAGGGGCCTCCCCATCGGCTTATTCTCCATGCGAGGATATTCGGGTGTTTTTCACGGCAGCGAGGACGAGATAAGCGCTGCCTTCTTTCTTCCCCGCCGATGATTATATTGGCGACGCACAAAGGCAACCATCAAGACCGCCGTTCGTCTTGGCTGAACCACTCGGCCGGATCATCGGATTGCCCACTGTCGCCGGACCACACGTACCCTTGTCATACCGTCCGCGCCAGGGAGGAGCTGCCGTTGGCTGGTAGAAGGAGCCCACGGCGTCGCGCCGCGAATGTCGAGATGCGATAACGGTGGCTTCCCGTGTCGGTACATCTCCTCCGATGCCAAGACGGTTACGGAACCGCGATGCGAGCGATGTAACGCGTGATTGTCTACATGGTCTGCTGACGGGCTTCCAGGAATAGCCTAATTCGGCACTGCTTCACTTATATATCAGGTGGCTAGCATCTCTGCTGGTCGCAACAAGTGATAATGGGTCTTGAACGGAGCAGGTACCATCTAGTCGTTGGTCACTGGTTGAGCCATCGGCGGGCAAGGAAGCATTTTAGCTACCCGGCACTTGCTGATATCGGCAGCCTTCTTTGGCAAAAGAAGACTCTTGCAGCTGTGACTGTAGTGTTCGGGTAAACACCGAGCCCGAATATGGCTTTTGTTCGAGGTGTCTGACTAGAAGTGGCCAGTTTTCTGGTGACACCACTTGGTATAAGGAAGACTTTTCCCATATTTCTCTTTCGTTTCTGGTCCCAAATCACTAGCTCATTGGCTCTTTGGCATTGCGGGCTGGTGGCTGGTTATATGCAGACAAGCACTTCAACACGGGGTATCTCCTCTATCTTTGCCGGAGAAGCCGGGACTGTGACCTCGACGCGAGAAATGTTTTCGTCCGGATCAGAAGAGAAGCTGGCACCTCGTCAAATAACCGAACAGCTCTCCTATAGAACTCGAAACCATGCAGTGTACATACGGTGCCATTGAACGGGACGTAGTCGGTGCCCACGGCCCGAGCCAGCGAAAGAATCGTTCTCATAGGTAAAGTAGTGCGGCTCGGGACCTGGCTCACTGTTGTGCCCAAGGTTCCGTCGGCTCCAGCATCAACTCGTGCTTCCCAGCTTCGCCCAATTAAGAAGAGCAGAGAGCAAAGGTGGACTTGTCGAGGCGAAATACAGCACTCACTGCGTCGCCGAGTCGTCGGGAGGCCGGGGGGGAAATAACTGGACAATGCACGATATCACCCGGTATTCCAGTGAATGGCAGATATGCCCCCTTCTCTAGTAATCTGTTCCCCCCACTCCGCCGCCAGTCCCATGCGTGACAGGATCCCGTTGCCTGAATCAACCGCATCCCAGCCCAGGAGGTGTGTTTACCCTCGGCCACGAGGCCTCCTCCATCCGCCGCCCCGTCTTGCGCTGTTATTTCTTTTTCTTTGCTCTGCCATCGTCCTAGATGCCAAACCGGTGCCTTCCCAAATCCCGAACGCTCATGAACATTTCCATGCCCTTCTCTTTTATACCTCGATTTAGAAAAAAAAGAAGAAAGAAAGAAGGAGCCTCTCAAGTCTGACACCCTCCAAGCATGATCGCAACCCCCCCCCCCCCCCCTTTCCCAGACACACCTCTCAGCCCTCTAGCAGCTCCTCGGGCCACCGCACCTCGAAGCCGCTCACCGTCTTCTGCACCTCGACGTCGCCCGGGTCCCCCTCGAACAGCGGCTTCTCCATCTTCCTCTCCAGCACCTGCTCCACCAGGAACCCCCTCTCCCGCGCCGCGTCGAAGAAAGCGAGGTCCTTGTGCCGCAGCCACGGCCGGTACGACGTGAAGAAGACGTACGCCACGGCGCCCCTCTCCCGCGCCAGCGCGTTCCAGATCGTGTCAACGAGCTTGCCGTGCTCCGAGTGGCGGAACAGCAGGTCCGCCAGCACCAGCACGTCGAACCTCCTTGCTGTTGTCGTCGTCGTCGTCGTCGTCGTCGTCGTCGTCGTCGTCGTCGTCGTCGTCGTCGTCGTCGTCGTCGTAAACTCCGGCTCGGCGAGGACCTCCAGCAGCGGCGCCACGTCGGCGCCCCAGACGTACCCCCTCGGCACGACGACGCCCTCGAGGTCGCCGGCCTCGTCGACGTTCTTCTGCATCGTCTGCACGATGTCGGCGTCGGGGAAGTCCGACACCACGACGCGCCTCGCCCCCAGGATCCCCGCCGTCAGCGACGGCAGGCCGGCGCCGGCGCCGAGCTCGAGCACCGCCCGGCCCCGGACGCGGCTCGGGTCCGCTTCGAAGTAGTCCGAGACGACGCGGCTGCCGTTCCAGAGGTGGTGCGCCTCGGTCGGCGAGTAGCCCACGAGGTGGAGGGTGAGGACGCGGCCCGACGACAGCGTGTGCGTCTGCGTCGTCGGCGGCGGCGTCGGCGGGTAGTAGTCCTCCGGGTCGGCGAACAGGTCCCCCGTGTCGCCGTCGGCGACGTCGCTGACGGGACTCATTGCTTGCGGGGAAAGTTTTTTTTTTTTTTCCCGAGGTGGCCGACTCAGACGTCGAGCGATCCGTCTTCCCTCGACGTTGATGAGGAAGGAGGGGCAGATGTAATGGCGGGAAGTCGGTTCTGAAGCAAGAGTGAGAACACCCCCTCCCTCGCGACAACTGAGGCCTCTCTGTTTAGGGGAATTTGTTTTTTATATGAGTCGTTCCCAGATCAAAAGAGTTCTGTAGCAGTGTGTCAGATCAGAGGCTGTTGAGAGTTACGATCTTGAGAGGAGCCGACTTACCTGAACGGGTGCGGGGTGAGAGAAACAGAGAGGATGAGTCGCAATTTTTTGCAGTCAATTTTTTTCTTCTTTTTTTCTTCTGCGATGCTGTGAGGTTGTGGGTACAGTGCAGAGTCGGTTTTGTCGACCGGCACTGTATCGTAAGGTAGTCAAAACACACGTATGGTACAGTGCGGCTGTCTGTCGTCGGGCTATTTCCACGTTTCCAATAACAAGCAAACAAACAGGCGGCGCGCAACTTGAGATGATCAAATGGAAATGGATACAACCGAGGGTGATTCTTTGTCATCATTTTTATTGCTTCAGATGTTTCTTTCTGAACCCATCTTCTTGTTTGTGTCTGCGCAGACCTCTGGCAGCTTCCCATATTCGTATTCTTCATATATATCATCACTCATCACAGGACCTCACTCCAAAGAACATGGTCGCATTTGTTTATTAACTAACCTTATAGAACGTTTCATAAGCCCCAATGGGAACGATTCTAATGTGTAGAGTGTGGCCGCAACAGCCGTCTATGCCCCCCCTTCCCGCCCTCACCCGAACCTCTGCTTCGCCAGCTCCCGCAGCCCCTTCATGACCCCCTCCTCCCGCTCCCGGTACTCCCTCACCCGCGCTTCCCGCTCCGCCTCCCTCGCCCTCGCAATCTCTTCCCGCCGCAGCTCCCTCTCCGTCTTCTTCCTCTCCTCCCGCGCCTTCATCGCCTTGAACTCCTGCAGCGAGTCCCCGCCCCCCATGAGCTCCTGCTCCCCGACCTCCGGCACGCCGCCGTCTCCGCCCTTGTCCCGGAACTCCTTCATCTTGTCGTTCACCAGCGCCCGCTTCTCCAGCTGCCTCTCGCGCGTCCCGGCCTCCGCCCGGGGCGCCACCTCGTCCAGCCTCTCGCGCTGCAGCCTCCGGTCGTCCTTGCGCTGCTGCCGCAGGTCAGCCGCCCGCGCCTCCCTCTCCAGCTGCGCCTCCTCGGCCAGCGTCTCGCGGTGAAGAGACAGGTCCGCCATGCTCGGGATTCCGGGGCCCGCGCGCTGGCCTCCTTCCCGGGCGGTGGGTGGGAGCCTTGGCCCAAGATCGTCGTCGTCGTCCTCCTCCTCTCCCTCTTCGTCTTCCTCGCCCCGCCAGCCATCATGCCTCTGCTCTTTCACCACCTCAACGTCGTCGCGCCGCACCTCCTCCCTGGGCCCATCGATGCCCTCCTCGATGGCTCTCTCCTTGGCCGCCACAAACATCTCGGGATCGTACCACCCCTGGCTCAGCTCCCCGCGGTTCCATTTCCCCACGAAACTCTTCCACCGGCCCCGGACTTCCCGCTCGTCCATGTCGCGGATGTCCTTCTGCTTCTGCAGGTCGAGGTAATACGCCAGTAGCGGCCGGAAGACGCCGAGCTCCGACTTGGACAGCTGCCGGGCTTCGTAAGGCAGAGGCTCAACGGCAGCGGCGGTCTTGTTGCTGCGGTCCTTGTCTTTGTCGCCCCGGTGGCGGTGGCGGTGGTGGTGGTGGTGATGCCGGTGATGATGTCTGGACTCCCGGTCGCGGTCCTCGCTGCGTGGAGACCGCCTCCGCTCCCGATGCGAGCCGCCATCGTCGTCACCAATGGGAGACCTCCGCCTACCCTCATCCCGATGCCGTCTGGGCGACCGTGACCGGGTGCGGGTTACGGACCGAGAGCGCGTCCGCCTGTGTTGCCGCTCCGCGTTCCTCCGCTCACCCGAGCGCTCGTCCATAGGCATGATGGGCCGGGTGTCCAGTCTCGAACGCTTCTCAAACTTTTTCCTGATAGTACAAAGATGAGACAAACCTCGTCAGACCTGAAAGAATGATGATCCTCCCTGCCCCTCGAATCAAGATGACCGGCGCGTCTACCCGACAAGGCTCCGAACAAGCTTTTATCCCTCGACGATGACAGGCGAATCGCACGTCGGATCTTTAAAAGTCTAATAAGGACCCCCCCCCGCTCTACGTGCGAGATCGGTATGCCTCCCCGGATAAGAATGGTGGTGGGGATTCGTGACGCTGGAGTTTGTCCGTCCTGTTTGACCACGGTTTCAGCAGCGAGAATCCTGCTACGACGGTTGAGTCGACCTGCCGGAGCTGGCCGAGTGTTCCTTGATGCGACGAAGAAAATAAGACGACTACTTGCAAACGATGACGAAAGGTAGAAGAGGGCTGGTTGAGGAACTGCAATATCCCGAGCGCTTGGCGGTGTCGTCGCTGACGTTGTTCAAAGGAAAAAGCTCGTGCCACTGCCGCCTGTCGCTCAAGCGCCAAAACAAGCAGGGGTGGGCGGGGAGTTGGGGGACTGGATCTTCAGGTCGGTGCCGCTGCGATGTGGCTGGGCCCCCCCGCGGAGCCGTGGGTACCCCAAATGCGGCCCCGGAAAGTACCACACCCTCGGCCATACATGCCGAGTTCCCCTCACCTCTGTCGACGACTGGCCCTAGATAACTCATCCGACCCCGGTGTTTTGTTATCAGACACAGCATTGGGGTTTGAGCATGGAATCGATCACGACCCAAAATGTACACGTTTACAGAGGATTTAGCACTGTGCTTCTCGATGTACAAAGGCGCGGCGCGGCGCACGCAGCAAAGGGGCTATGCAAAGGCCTGGGTTTCGGTCTTCCAGGGACCGTCAAAATAATACTTATGAGTACTGCGACAGAGCCAGTGTGTAGGGTATCGTCTTTAGAGAAAAGAAGAAGAAGAAGAAGAAGAAGAAGAAGAAGAAGAAAAACACCGCAGATGCAAGCCATGACATGATAGACCGATGCCGACCTTCCCCTTCCCAGACATAGTTCTCATTCATCCATCGTCATGAAGCCATGTTTGTGGTCTTAAAACACTTCACATCCAACCGCCCGTCACATTCAAACGTCGTGCTATGACTCGGGGATCGGTGAGTTGTTGTGTATCGAGCAGCCGAGGCACTGACAGTCGTCGCCGCAGGGGCACGACAAGGTCTCGCCGGCGCATCCGTCGCCGCTGAACGGATACGTGACGAAGAAGAAGTCGCTAGCCGATAGCGCCTGCTCTTCGCTCAGCCCGGATGCTGCATCTGAGGGCGTCTGCGGCGCGGGCGGAGAGCCGCCACCGTCTCCATTAGCGTGAGACTCGGCCCCGTGGGCTCCTGCTCCGTTGGCTACCGTGTGCTCCGAGTGCCCATTCGTGCCGTTCGTCCCGTTCACCGCTCCGTATGAGTCTTCATGCATGCTCATGTACGCGGACCGCACGTAGTCCTGCGTCGCATCGTTGTAAGGATGTGCGGCGCAGCCCACGCACTGGCATCCATCGCCGCAACCGCACGTATGGGACGTCGATTCGGGCCCCGTCGCGGTCGTGCCCTCGGGTGTGAAGATGGGGTTCGGCGGCATGCTATACGTCGCGGGTTGCGGAATCGGCTGGCCGTAGTGTAGAGCCTCCATCGTCTGCTTCCACTGCTCGGGCTGCAGGGGCGACATGAAAGATCCGTATTGCGGCGGGTAAGTGAAGATGGTCGGTTGAAAGTAGGAGTGATAGATTCCCTGTGGCATGGCCATCGGTGTTTGGAAAGGTGACATTGCCATCGCGCTCGTAGGCGACACATGACCATTGGACATGTAGTGGCCACCGCTGTTCGTCGCTAGGTCGGTGTCAACTGTAGGTGCCTTGCTGGAGCAGCAACTACCCATATTCGGCTTCGGCCGCGTCTTTGGACTCGAGCTGACACTGGAAGGTTGTGTAGAGCTTTCTTCGGCCTTGCCCGGTCCTGAACAACACGAGCCCCCTGTGCTAACGCTTGTAAGTGACGGCGGTGGGGGCGCGGGCTTCATGGCTCCGTTAGCCTTGCCAGAACAGCAGGATCCCCCGTTCGTGGCGGTCACTGGGGCGGGAATCGACGCCGGCGCCGGCGTGCCCGTTGTCGAGGTTGCGCCGTTCGTATGGGGCATCGGCATCGCGGCGCCGTTCGGGAACATGGGGTTGGGCATGGGCTGTGGAAACACGGGGTACATGATGGGCTGGTGATGGAAGCCGCCGTTGACGCCACCCATGATCGTCATCGCGCCGTACTCCATGCCGGGTCTCTGTGCGGGCATGGCGGGTATCGCGCCGTTTGCCTGGGACATGTGGCTCGGCTGCGGCATGTCGTAGGGCGGCAGGATGTTGATGCTGGAGGCATCCATCCTCTCAAAGTTGGCGGGGTCGAACGACTGTTTTCGACTGCTAGACTTGGATGCCATCTTCTGGATTCGAAAGGAGGCCGGGGCCTTGGTCGGGGACAAGGGCGGGGCATCGCTCGCGGGTGACTCTGCCTTTATGACGCTCGACGACGAGTCGGTGGTGGGTGTTCCGCTACTCGACCCGCAGCCGCACTTCTGCTTCTTCGGGATGGCGGCCGTGACGCTGCCGCAGCCGCAGCCGCGGGAGGGCGGGTGAGGGCATGTGCTCAGCGGTCGGCCGGGCTTTCGCACGGGGACCATCAAACGCTCATTCGCGTGGGTGCATTTCGTGGAACGATGACCACGAATACATGGCTCGCTGAGCGGCGAAAGGTGGAAAGGGTCAGCTTCAGGGTCCAACACAATGCGGGGTTCGACAGGAATCAGGAGACAAGGCGCATGGCTCTGGCTCGCGTGAGAGGATAAGAGAGAGGGGGGGCTTCATGCCACAGAGGGCACAGACGAGAGCGAGATGAGATCGCGACAGGAAAGTAAAATGCACGACTTACCAGGCCATTTTCTGGCCGTTGATGAGCGGCATGGTGAGCTGTGCTGTGTGGTTGAGGCGGGCCCTCAAGGTTGCGACGGTAGATGAGGGAAAGGGAGGGGTTTTTTCTTTTCTTTTCTTTTTTCTTTTTTTTGCGACTATCGAGTATCGAGATTCGAGATTCGAGAGAGATGGAGCGAGCGAGCGAAGAGCGAGGCTTGGAGAAAATATGAGGTACGGTGAGTTTTTGCTCCGACTGCACCTCCAAACGACCTTGGACCCTTGGAGTGAGCCGCGAGGTGAAACATGGAGGCGGGCGCCAGCTCTCGGGGTACACCTGTCGTCGGCCTGTCTTTGTCCGGTTCGTCGGCGTCGTGTGTCTGTATCGGAGGCTGCGTGGATCTGTGTGTTTTTTCTGTGTACCTAGGTATGCGGCGGCGTGTCCGGTCGGTGAACGGGTTCAGTATGAGTTGAAAGCAACGGTAGGCAGGCGAAGAAGAACCGAAAGGGAATCTCGGAGGGGAATGCGGGATGAGAGGGCTAGAGATTGGCGAGAAACGAGCAGCGTTTCGAAGAATTGGAGTGGAGAGCGGGCTGCAAGGTCTGTAATGTCAAGGTGAAGAAGGATGGAAACCCGGGTGGATAGAGCGAGTCGAGTCGGCGAGTGTCGAGGTACGACTCAGGCAGCGGCAGTCGGCAACAGTAGAATTGATTGTTGATGAGAGAGAGGGAGAGAGACAGAGAGGGAGGGGAGGGATGGCGGGAGCAAGGACGGGACAGGACGGACAGGACGGACAGGACAGGACAGGGACACCTCGGCGCTCATGCGCAGGGTTCGTGTCAACCAACCACTTAGGTAGGCAAAGGCCAAGCACCTAAGCTAAACCTGGAAGCTATAGGCAGTCCAACCGATGTGTGTCGACAGTTGATTAAGTGGGTGAGAGAGAGAGAGAGAGAGAGAGAGAGAGAGAGAGAGAGAGAGAGAGTGTGTGTGTGTGTGTGTGTGTGTGAGTGAGTGAGTGAGTGAGAGTGAGAGAGGGCGTTGTGTGTGTGTGTGTGTGTGTGTGTGTATATGTGGGCGAGCCGAGTACAACAAGTACTGTGCTGTATATAACATACCCAGGGTACCTATATGGCAAGTCTGGGAAGAAGTGGAGGAAACACACAGTGGAGGATGCAGAAACGAATGTCCACAAAGGGCGGCCAGCCCCATGTGCTCCAAACACTACAGCAACAGACGGACAGACGGCGTTCGTTCATTACTTCCCTAGTTGCCTACTAAAATCTCTTATGCCTCTCTAGGTGGTGGTGGCTGCTGATGTGATGCTGGTGTGCCAGTTAGTGCCCCGGCTCAACTGTGCTGAGGAAAAAAAACCAGCGCGGCAAAATAGGCAAAGAGGGGACGCAGCATCAGCGCCCAGCGAACGCCCAGTGAGCGCCCAGTAGCGGCCTGCGGGGGGACGATGAACGAGGGATGGTATGGTATGGTATGGTATGGCATGGCATGGCGTGGCACGGGGGTGTGGAAGAAGACGTGACGAGGACGGACGGACGATGGATGTTGGATGCCCCCCCCCTTCCCTCCAAAGAATCCCCGTAGCGCATCGAAACAGCTCCACGTGCGAGGGTTTATTACTGTACATGCTGGCGCCATGCAGCAGCGGCGAAGAAGCGTCTACTGTATGTATGTATTAGTGTACACTACAGCTCAGCTTGCAGATGCCACGATTGCCTTGCCTTGCCTTGCCTTGCCTTGCCGCGGACTGCGTCTGCCCATGTCTTCCTCTGCCTCTGCTTCTGTCTCGGTTTTCTTGCGCCTCTGTCTCATTGCACCTCTGCCTGATCCTGCCCTTCTGTCAGGCTTGTCGTGCTGTAATTACGTGCCTCGTTGCACATGAGTTGAACATGTGATGGTCCCTTCTCTCCCCTCCTCGGGTCAGCTTCCCAGACGGGGGGCATCCATTCTCCAACCAACCTTGCGGTACAATAATATACGACAGTATGTATGGCTGCTGCGGGCAAGGGATACCTAATCCCCAGGGCAGGGTCCTTTAGAACATCAGCCGATGCGACCTCATCGGTCGCTGCCAAGGTACTATGTCGTACACCCGCCGTGGACGGTTCTCGCCCAGGGGTCGATCCGGTAGGCAGGCGGGATAATGAGGGGCAAGAAAAGATGAAGAAGAAAGTAAAATGCGCCCCGATGAGGGAGCTTCTGCCCAGTCAGATAGATGAGCAGCCACCCACGCTGATCGCCAGTTACTCTCCCACGAACCAACATGCCAATGAACCCCCAAACCGGGCCCATCGCGACGCCGAGCTGGTGTGGTGTGAGGGTAGGCAGACAAGCGGGTGGCGCCCGACAAGCTCCCGGCTCCTGGGGACCAATGGCACCCGAACCCAGCCGCCCCCCCTCTCGGTCTCTCGAGACTGTCAGTTCATCCAGCCCGCTGTGTTTATCGAGCGGATGTGACTGACACTCGAAAGCGCAGGTAAGCATCTTTCGGAAGTATTGCTTCTTTGTGCCGGGTATGCATCTTGACATGCGTCGAGAGCTCCACCTGGGACGAACGGCGTCCAAGTTCACTCCAGGGTCCAGCTCCAGCTCGGCGATTCCCTGCAACATCACACCTGCATAAACAAACTATCGGTACGGAGTACGGATAGTTAGCACACAATAAAGAGAGGCCGGTTCTGTTTGCCACCGCGGTCGCTATCGGGTCCGTAGTCGATAACCTCCCACCCCCCTCCCCCCTTGACCTCGACGCCGAAGCGAGCCGACGTATCATCAGAAGAGTTGACGGCTCTTTTCTGGAGTCCCAGAGATCCCCCTAGACAATCCGAACTCGACCTGCCGGTGCCATGCTTTTCGTCCTTTTCATGCTTTCATTCCCAGGTCGGTTGCGTGAAATGCAGTGCAGATATTGACTACATGACCTACGAATATCGTGCCAGCTTCACATCCTCCTCCACCTCGTCCTCCCTCCCGCAACAGCATTCCCTACCAACCGTCCTGCATCAAGAAAGCCGAGCGTGGCCGCGCCGACGGAGGGTGAAGAAGTGGACCACCAAAACACTGGAGGAAAAACAAAACAGGCGAGAAGAGTTGGCCATAACACACACACACACACACACACACACACACACACACATGCTTGGATGGAGGAAGAGGGTGGGAGCTAGCAAGTAAAACTCCACCGCCAGAGGCTAGAGAGGCAAGGGAAGTGAGCAAGTTTTGATTGGTCGAGTCCACGCACCCAAAATTCAACGAGACGGTTGTCGAACGAGAGTTACCACCACCACCACCACCACCACACGCCCCCCTCTTCCCAAAAAAAAAACCAAGACCACTTTCGATTACACTACACTTGACGAAGAATGCGTATCCGTAGCTGTGCAGGAATAGAGAGAGAGATAGGCCCGTGGAAAGGTGGGCACCTCTGATGTAATATTGGCCATTTTGTGCCGATGTAAACTCGCTGTGTATCGGTCGTGAACCCGAAGTTTTGGGTTTCTCTTTTGTTTCTTTTCTTCTTTGTTCTTTCTTAGGTCCCCTTCCCACACCTAGTCGCAACTCTTATCGATTGATACAATGTCCTACCAGACGAGAGACATAACCGACCACCAAGGAAGATATCATCCGCGCCGCTGCACCAAAACTCATCCCGACAAACTCCCGTGTCTAGGTCAGCCACCCCTGGCCCAACTTGTGGCTAATGCCGTCATATCCCCTTCGTCACATACAGGTACAAAGATTTGTCCATCACCTTGTGCATTGTCATGCCGTGCCTTCCTGAGCGGCTCGGAGACACAGCCCTCCACATGTACCCTGTCCGGTCCCTGGTCCAGTCAAGACATCTGCATTTGCGACTCTGGGCATTGGCCAATGCTTCAGATGCCCCGAGTCTTTACTAGGTGAGCAAGATTATCAACCAACCCCCCCCTGGTGCCCCTTTGGCCTCCTTTGAGGGGCAACGCCATGCTTCCGCCACGCGCGGCTACTTGCTCTCGTCCGAGTCCCCAGAGTCGGCGAACATATCCACCGCTCTCATCCGTTTCCTGGTCTGAGCCTTCGCCGTGGTTTGTAGCTGCAGCCGTCCGATCGTGCGTGTCTCGCCGGCTTCCGCGCCTTCTGCCACTCCTCCCACCTTGCTGGACTCGGCCGGGCCTGGCTGGTCCTCCACTGGCTCGCGCGCATCCTCCTCCATCGGTTCCCCTTCGACGTCGTCGTCCACCATGGGCTCTCCCTCCACATCCTCCTCGCTCATTGGCTCGCCCATGACATCCTCCTCCTCCATGGGTTCACCAGCAACGTCTTCTTCGTCCATTGGCTCGCCTTCAACATCATCATCTTTGTCAGCCGATGTCGGCTCCGATGCCTTTTGGTCAGAGGTCTTGGTGGTGGCCACATTGGCGCTTGGCGTTGAGGTCTCGACTGGCTTCCACCTGCCCTTCTTCGCTGCTTCATCTTCTATTTGCTCTTGTGTCTTCAAAGATGGCGGGTTGTCGAAACTGCTGGCGAACAGCTCCTGACTCTCCGTCGGGAACACACACCAGCCCTCCCAGAGGCCGAGAACGAGACCAACGCTCCGCTTCCACTTTTCGGCCCGCATCCGGCCCCAGTTCAGTCTCTCCGCCATCAGGCCAAGATGCTCAAAGATCCTGCGTTCTTTGAGGACGCCTTCAAAGACCTGTCGATATCGCCAAGCGCGCTGTATACCGCTACTGGAAGAGGCGGACAGTACGTCACTGACAACGTACAGGCCCACAAGGCTAGCGCCGCTGGTATCGGGGCCCTCCTTGTCGGTTTTCTCCTCTGGTTCGGCCGCAGGTAGTTCGGACCCGTCCGCTTGCTTCCCCTTGTCTTTGATGCTGGAATGAAAGTCCGGGTTGGCCGCCGTTAGCGCGAATGGCCTCTCAACATTCGACACAATCATATCGACAACCTCTTCGGCTCCTCGGCTCGCATGTGTAAGAGCAAACGCTGTGACTCGAGCAATATCCCCCTTTCGAATCTTGGATAACGTGGTCGGCAGGCGGGACAAGAGGTGGGT